CCCCAAAACCCCAAAACCCCTAAATTCCAATAAATGATTTCAGAGAGAAATTAGTTTGAATAAGAATTAAAATTATAAATTAAAGTAGCAACTCATGGAATCTTAGTAGAATAAAATCTTAGATATTTTGTAAATTCAGCAGTCATCTGAGTCCGTAGATTACGTAAATAATCAAACTTAGTTCTAATTACATGGCTTACTGACAGAGTAAAGGCATGAGTAGACTTAAAATCTTAGTTAAACTCTAAAGAAAGACACCAAGGAGGGATTAAATTAGTTATTCTCAGTTGATGAGGACATAAGTTAGAGATTTTCAAGATTAGGATAGAATGATGACTTAGCTAAGCTCTAGCAGGCAGCTGACTCTGTTTATAATACTTTGATTAATGGAAGGAAAATCTATATCTATGGATGTGGCGCCACTGGGAGACTAGCTAAGTAAATTGAATGTGAGATGTGGAAGAGATTTTATGATATTTTGGAGAATAATGAGATAGTGAATCCGAAATTAAAAGATAGATTTCCTTCAATTAGTCTGCGTAATCAAGTAATAGGAGAGTTAACAGGAGGAGATAGAGCATTAGTTAGCTCTTTAGAGGGTTTCGAAGATCTACAAGTAATTGGTCACCTTTAATATGAAGATAACTAGATATCAAAAGGAGATTGTGTATTTTCAGTTACTGAAGGAGGTGAAACCTCTTCAGTAATTGGAACGATCCTTTATGCAGCTTAATAATACGGAGATATAAATTAACTCTCAGAGGATTAAGTACTCGAGGCTTAGAGACATCTATATTATATCTACAACAATAATGATGAGCATTTGACACCTTTTGATCGTTGCAACAGCGTACTCAATAATAAGCTTATCACAAAGATCTCCTTATGCACTGGCCAACAGGCTATTGGAGGCTCTACTAGGATGCAAGCTTCAACTACTAGTTAATTTATTGTGAGTATGCTTCTAGAAAATGCTATGCACAGAATATTAAGCGAATTACTAGATTAAGGTGAGTTGAATGATGCTGGTTTCTAAGTTGGCCAAATGAGTTTAAGCGATTAGATTATAAGTTTCACAAAAGTTCAAAGCTAAATAAAAAATCATATAAATGACATAGCAAAATTTACTGAGCTAGAATATAATACCTATGCTAATGGTGGTAGAACATACTATTTCGCATAACATGCTATCGTGACTATATTTACAGATATGACAGAAAGAAGTCCAACCTTTAGTCTTGCTCCTATTGATAGAAGTGATGCTAAAGAAGTCAAGTCAATTGCTTAAGTCTTTACAAATGTTGATAATTAAAGCGAAGCCTGGGTGAGACTTCTTGGCAGAAATTACCGTGGACTTTCACACCCTAATTATCGAGAGAAATTCGAGGATGTCGGTATTTTAAGATAAAAAGCACTTGATAGTCTAGCTTAAGCTGGACCTGATTAGGAATAATACTATGATTTTTCCTTTTCAAAGGACAATAGAGAATTTTCTCTTCCAACAAGTAAAGACCTTGGTGTACTTGTATTGTTTGGCTATGAAATAGAAAGACTAATTATGCATTATAATAATGGAATACCTAGTATGGCTCTTGTATTCGCTTCTGAATATATTAAACAGAGATGAGCTGCTCTATAACTAATCATAGTTTCTGATGAGAATAATTACAAAAATAAATCTAAATATGATACATTTATCAGAGAATAAATGTACAAAGAATGCTAAATACTTCATGTAAACATTGGTGATGTTTAAGATCCAATGTATATTAGACACTCAATCGCACTTAAAATGATTATGAATGCTCATTCAACTGCCGTCAATACTAAATTCGGTAAAGTTGTTGGCAATACAATGAGTAATGTTAGAGCAGGCAATCTCAAGTTAGTTGGAAGAGCAACATATCTGACACTTTCTCATGTCAATCAAAATCTTAAAAAAATGAATGAAAGCACTTAAATTACTTATAGCGAGGCCAATGCTGTATTATTTGATGTGATGGATTATTTAAGCAAAAATCCTAAGATTACTGCAGAATCACCAGTTCCAACTTCAATTATCAGAATACTAGAAGCTATGAAGAAGTAGACTCATATTACTAATGAAGAGGCTTTTGTAATTAAATAAGAATTAGGGCTGGCTGATTACCTTGAAAATTATGCATGAAATCGAATAAAATATTTATTAATTGAAATATTATGGTTGAATTTGTATATTAACAAATTCCATAAAAAATTAGTGCTGAGGGGTTTTGGGGTTTTGGGGTTTTGGGG